TGATTTCTGCCTGCCTGGACCTGGGACAGAGGACTGCTGTCTGCACCTCTCAGGTTGCCCCTCCTTCACCCCAAGGATCTGTGAGTAATAAACTTCTTTGAATCTATTTTGTGTCTTGGTCTTGAAGCGCGCCTACAGTATTGAATCTAATATTCTCTGGGAAGAGAGGGTTTCCCCCTCACCCTAGATCGCAGGAGGCATATCCTCTCCTGGTGGCCCTATGTCTACTAACACAGTGGTTATTAGTTTACCTCCTGATACTGTATTTACATTAAGGGAGCTCCCCCTGAAGACCCTAGGCTCAAAACAGAATGGTTGCACAACTGAAAGAATGTAATCAATGCCACCGAATTGTACATGTAGAAATTGCTGAGTTGGTGTGTGCTTTGCTGTGCATATTCTCTACAACGACAACAAAAAGTAGAAGACCCCTATGTAATCTACTATTTTAACAAGACATTACTGTTTACATACGAGAAGCAATACATCACAGTGATTAAATGTGCAAACCAGCCAGGTTGCCTGATTTCAAATCCCAAGTCTGTTACGCACTGACTGGCAGATCACTTAACCTCTCTGTGCCTTAGTTTCCTCATCTGTAAAATGGGGAAATAATAGCATCTACCTCGTGGGGTTGTTTTGCAGGATTACATGTGTTAAGATTTGTAAAGCTGCTGGAGCAGTGCCTGGCACCTTGCAAGAGCTAGTCTTTACCAGTAGTATGCATCTTCTCGTCTTACTCTCCCAACACCTGGTGAAGTGGGTAGGCAGACATGGCTCTATCTTTTGCAGATAAGAATTAAGGCTCATGAAGCTAGTAACAAGCTTTGCTTATGAGGAGGTGGCGCTAGAACTCTGATCTGATTCCTGATGGGTACGTGTTCTGCGCATGTGTGCAGTGCAGCGCATAACAATGAACCCGTGTCTTCCTCAGGGCTTCTGATTCACAAAAGAACCCTTATAGCTGGTCATCTACAGATCCTGCCACAGCAAAGGGCTGTTAGGATAAGAACTTTCCTGTTTAGAACTGTTTGGCTTCCAGAAGACAGGGACAGACCTTCAATTTAATTTCAAGGCACGGCATGCCAGATGAGTAACAGAGGAGTTTTTACTTTCATCCTGGCAGAAAACGTGTTGCGCTTACTTTTTTATGAACAACCCTCAGGCAAGGAAAGCATCAAGCCACAAAGAAGGCTTTCTCCCCTTCAATACATTCTGTTAATGGTGATGAACCTGATATGAATACATGGAAACAACCGGAGAACACTGAAACACTATGTATTTATAGAGCACACCTCCCTGCTACAGAAGTTGTAGTTTCACAGATATTACTGAATTGAAACCCACAGTTTTTATCAAGAAGGCCACAGGCACAATCTCTGAGTTAAAAAATGAGGATAGCAATGCACAGAAAGGCAAAGGACAGTCTCAAGGTCATGGGCAGCAAGTCCATGGTGAAACACAGAAGCAGAGAACCGCCTCTTGGGGTAAAACATTGTCCTCCAAGCCACCCAATGCATTTTTGACGACCTGCATGGGTAAGTGTGACCTGGAAATTTGTAAGGGTGGGTGAAGGATGCAACGTGCTTGTATTAATTATTTAATTCCTGCAAAGTACATATGCTTTAGCATTGCTCAACCAGAGTCATGTTTTAATTCCCTGCAGGGGGAAAAGGACTCAGTGACATGAACTATGGCCATAGCAACTACCTGCAGTGCTGTTCTGCCCTCTCAAAGGAGTCTACTCCCCAGGGGCAGAGTGTACCTTCTCACAGTGAGAATGAGCTACCAGAGAGGAGCCTGAAACTCACAAGGCAAATTTGTGAAATGCTTTAGATTATTCTTCCCATTACTGGAGAAAAGGAATAATATGTAGTTAGCTGTGCATTACCAAAGTCAAGTCAATGCCATATGAAAACCACTGAAGTTTCAAAAAATCACTTATCAATGAAAATGGGATTAAACCAAAAAACCAAACCTGCTGCCATTGAGTCGATTCCGACCCATAGCGATCCTACAGGACAGAGGAGAACTGTCCCATAGGGCTTCCAAAGAGTGGCTGGTAGATTTGAAGTGCTGACCTTTTGGTTAGCAGCTGTATCACTTAACCACTGCACCACAGGGCTCCGAGAATGGGATTTGGGCCTATAAAATTAGTATCCATCCCACCTACAATTATTACTGCCATTTTCTTCACCTTTTATTCTCTTGCTGTCTTTGAGAAAGACAGGTTTTTCTAATGAAACATGGCAAAATGGGCAGAAAATCTGAGCTACTCTCTACTCTACCACTTGATTGCAGTGGGATCTTTGACAGGTCTTTAAACCTCTCTGAACCGCAGTTTCCCCTTCTTTGAAATGAATAGACACCATCTGTCCCTTCTATCTGAAAAGCTGTCAGGAAATAAGTAGGTAACAGATGAAATGTTATTAAGCTCAAACTAGAACTGGGAACTTAACAGTTGGGGAAAAGAATCAACAAGAATCTCTGTTAATGGTAACAGTGCTAGGGAAATGTGGATTATAAAATTAGAGGTGGGGTGACCTCCATAAACCGAGCCGTCCCTTGCACAGCTTCCATACACAATCCTAGTGTCTAAGACATGCGAGGGAAACTGATAGTGCAGAATTTCAAAGAGTTGTACATGGTAAATTATTGGATATAAAAATGTGTACACCTGATTGGGGGTATGTGTGTGTATGTGTGAGATGAGTGTATGTGTGTGTGTACATACATGTGCATGTGGGTATGTGTACATATGCGAGTATGCATATGTATGCAAATATGTCAGGATGCATGCGCGCACACCTGTGTGTATTTGTGTATGTGTGTGGATCTATATGTGTGTGCCTGTGTATATACATGTGTTAGAATTAGGTAACACCTAGAGAAAAGGCACCAAGTTCTTTCGGGCAATATCTAAGTCTCATGAAAAGCAACCAAAAAAAAAAAAGAGAAAGCTGAAGAATATTAGCTTTCTTTTAGGTCCAGTACTAAACAAATAACCTGATTTATGAGACAATGGTTGGTCACTATTTGAAAATGTGCTGGTTGACTTTTCTCATCTGAGAGTCCCTTTGATTTCACATTATTTCTTTTTCCAGAGCTCTTAAATCTAGTAAGTGACCCTTCTCTTTCTACTTGTCTCTAAGAAATCATACCAGAAGTTTTTAGTGTTTGGTAAGCTCCTATTGCCCCATGTGAATTCTTGTGAATAAAGGCTTACGTGCTAATTCTATCAATGTCAGCAGAATCAGAGATACTTTTTACTGTAATTGGTTCACAATTTGACTCCGCCTTGCATATTACTCACTGATCACTCAGCATGTACAAAGCCTGCCAAGGATGTGCATGGACAGCCAGTGTTTTTCTGTTTGGGCTTCATTTCATCTTTTACTGGGAGGGGCTACTTAGGGGTTAAAGAGCAGACTGGTAACCATCCTAGGTGTGCTATGCCATATGCTGCAGTGACCAGCATTCCAGGTCAAGGTCTTTTCTATTCAGTGTCAATTTCATCAAATCTGAACTGACTGTATTGGCAGAGGGCTTCAGGCCAGCCTTGTTAATGGGTACTGAAACTCATTTGTTGGTGTATCTGCTATGGCAACACACCCTTAGGCTGGGGGGAGAAAGGATTTCTGCCTGTGTAAAACCAACTGCTTCACCTATCTGTCTGTATGTTGAAGTGACTTCAAGTGGCCTCCTGAAGTGACTCCTGGCTGCACGTGTGGATACGTCCATTCAAGCGGCCCTGTGTTCACAAGAAAATATAAATCCACCCCTGCGTCCAGCTAGTAATGAAGACTAGCGATGCTCCAGGTACTTGCTGGAGATTATGATCACAAACTCATTGCTGCTCAATACCTTTCAAAAGCTCAGCTAGTGATGGAAGATTTCCTGAAAGGTATGCAGCCATCTGCTCCTCTGGATACTCTAGATCTCTCCCTGGACTAACCAGACCATCCCTAGAGTGAATTATACTGGGCCCCAGTAGAACTGTTCTCTCTGATCAGGTGATGTCATTGGCCTATATTAAGAGAGATGACATGAAACTGCCAGATGTAACCTGTCAGTGTGTTTACAACGTAGTCATGTTTCATACTGGCCCCTCTGTGAAGATCCTCGGGAGAAAACATCTCTCTGGTCTCTGTATCAAGAGTAGTTCTGCTTCTCCTGGGCAACTGATTTATTTTTACCTGGAGGGGATTTTGCATGTTGTAATTGGTCATGTTCCATATTTTGCACTGGCTTACAGCAATCTCAGAATAAATCTGTGGCTTGCTTCTTATGTTTAAATAAAACTTTCTGGCATGCATTTTGAGTATTAACCTTACCCCTGGCGATATCATACCTTATGTTTCCTCTGCTGCTTCTTTGCTAACTTTTTATTTTATTTTCCTGTGTTGAATAAATCTTGTCAAACCACTTTTAAACCCTTCGGAAACAAGATGAAGTATATTAAGAAAATGAGAAGCCACAGTGAGGCTGGGTAGTCAGTGAAACAGCACATGTGAAACTTCTCTGAACTCTAATCTTTGGTTTCTCATTAATACATCAGCTAATGGTCAGGACTAATTCTTAGATCTACAACTAATAACCACGAAAACCGAATCAAACCCATTGCCATCGAGTCGATGCCGCCATAGCAACCCTATAGGACAGAGAAGAACTGCCCCATAGGGTTTCCAAAGAGCAGCCGGTGGATTCGAATTGCTGACATTTTGGTTAATAGCTGAACTCTTAACCACTGTGCCACCAGGGCTCCTAACTAACAGCAGTGATGTTAAAGTCTAAAGAATAAAAACATGCAGGCATGATAAATAATAAGGGAAATTCAGAAATCAAGTTACAGAAGATGATGTATTCCAAAATCCATTGTTAGTCTCTCAACTCTTCAATCTCTTCTGGGAGCCAGTTACAAAAGACAGTGATGCTTCCTACATCTACCTGACGACAACATTTCACTGCCATTCAGAAGAACAATACTCCAAATGACCTACCGTGTTTGTGAATAAACGCGAGTCCTTGCAATATCTGGTACATGATATTCCTTATAGCAGACTCGGGAAACAACTTATTTCTGTAAGGGGCAGAAAGAAAAAGAAGGTTACAAATCTCGGTTTACATAAGAAAAAAAAAAAGTCCTGCTTTTAGTTCTTTTGATTATATGGAGTAAAAAAATAGAAAATATTTGCATACATGCTAATCTTTGACTTGATCCTTTGGTAGTAAAGAACAAAGAAAAAACAATCATTTATCCTTACAAGAGAGCTGCTTTACAAACACAAATACATTCAGTTATGCTACAAAGAAGAAAATATACATTTCAGTAAAAAAAAGAAAAAATTCCCTCAACATATCATATACAATACTAAAAATCTCCTCTCCCCATAATATAAACTAAAACTTTTAAAAACATTTTAGTAGGGAAAATTTAAGGACTTCTAGATGAAGGCCTTATGAAATACAGTTGATGTTAACATTTTCTCCCATTAGGCATACCACACAGTTTCACTGCTATTATTGACAATGAAGATGCTATTTGTTCACTGAAATCACTCAGGGAGATGCTATGAATGACGTTCATTTTGCCACCAAGAAAATGCGCCCAAGAGGCTTTACATGGTTCACTTTTAAAGTTCAAAATTACCATACCAGGTAAGTTTATTAGTCTTCTTCCCGAGAGACAAGCCCCCAAGCATGGTAGAATGAGAAGAACTGAAATAAACTTGGAAGCTTTCAATGGCAGTCTCAGGGGAAATGAAGCTGTGCACACCCCTGGACTGCAGCTACTTTGTCCATACGTCCTTGTGTGAATGCAGAGCTGCAGTGTGTTAAATCTCTGAGCTTCTTCAGGTAAACATCCCATTAAAACTTGAAAACGGCTACACTGAAACTACAGGGAAACCTAGAAGAGCCGAAACTCATTTCCAGGTCTTGCAACTTTTCTGCCTTTGACAGGGTGCAGTCTTACCACTTTTCTATTACTCATTTTAATGACAAATATTTGAGCTTTCCTTCTCTGACAGGTTTACGCCTTCCACAGGTTCTGGCTTTCACAGACTTTACTGTAGTTTCTGTGAAAATATCATAAGGCCTCAGTAGCAGGAGGGTGGTGGGTCAGGCCCCTCATCTAACAGGCAACTTCAAACAACAAAGCCCAAGTAGCAAGACTGTTAAGCGATTAGAGAAAGTCTTGGGAGACTGCAATAAGCATCCTTTTCGCAATATTTGTTTCTAAGATCATGACCAAACTGTACCTTTCTTTAATGAGCTGGTAAAGGTTTTCCTTCATGTACTCGAAGATAAAATAAAGATGATCGTTTTCCCTGATAACTTCTTTCAATTTTACGACATTGGCATGGTTGAGCTTCTTTAAAGACTGAAATATGAGGAAGAAAACCATGAGAGAAAACCTATTGTTGAAAAAGAAAAGCAACCCCATGTATGTTTAGAAAGAAACATCTAATTCTAGAACCACAGAAATGCTATTCACCTATGTCACAATTCGTATTGTATGGACAATTTAATAAACAGTATTTCTCTGCAGTCAATAGTAACTTTACATAGAGAAACTATTGTGATTAACTGACTAGAAGGTAAGTACTTCGCCATTAACTGGTATTTCCTGATTGCCTCCAGCACAGGCAATGCCCCAGTGGGCTATTGTTGGCCTGCCCCCTCCCAAGGATGCAATTCACGTTACAGCAGTAGCCAGAGCGGAGCCTATAAAGGAAGCTGAGACTTTAAGTTTTTTGGCATTGGAGAAGGCAGCTGCTTTGGGCTGAGATCACCAGCTAGCAGTCTGCAGGCGCTCTGAACTGGAAATTGTTCAAAGAGACTGAGGCTGATGGCCTGATTCTCTCAACTTCTGACTTCTGTCTGAATCATCCGTGTCCATGACCTGTGCAGCGCTCCTCCTTACAAAACCCACTGCCATGGAGTCGATTCCAACTTATAGCAACCCTATAAGACAGAATAGAACTGCTCCATAGGGCTTCCAAGGAGTGGCTGGTGGACTTGAACTGTGAACCTTTTGGTTAGCAGCTGAGCTCTTAACCACTGTGTCACCAGGGCTCCCCTCCTTACAAAGGGAGTTTTAATTACACAAGATGTGCTCCAGAAGAAGTCTCACTATAAAGACCCTGAAGTGAGATGAGAGAAATCCCCTAGCTTCTGAGAAGAGCAAAGGCAAAGAGAGTCAGACAGGGGATGAGGAGCAAGAGGGTGGCTCTGACAATGGGTATAATCTCTGATTATTCATTCTTCCTTCCACATAGGCAGTTTCCTCTTCTTGGAACATACAGTGAGTACCGCCATGTGCACATTATTTTCTGTTTGCATCACTAGTGCTACTGACGGTGAACAAATAGACTTTTGTACTAGTGAGCAGCAATCTAATTCATGTACAACAGCCAGAGAAATCCACGTGTTGGTTTGCTCACAAGAAAAAATCTTTAATGATCAGATTTTGATAGATTGTTTCCTTCAACGAAGACTCAAAACTTTGTCCAGTAGGATGAGCTCTTCAATTCAAAAAGCCTTGTCCTCACAGAGAAGTGAGGCCAAAAATAAATTCGAAAACTCTCTTTATCTTTGAATTTCATTTAAAAGAACATCCCTTTTATGAAACAAACAAAAAAGGTTTGAAGATGAGAATTTTAAAATAAACATCAAAATCTGGAAGGAAACGTCTAGGGATCAGAGTGAATGTGGAATAGGGTCAAGTTACTTCAAGCAGCTGGGAAGAGAGAAGAAATAGTCAGCGAATGAGAACAAAGTAAGCCTCTTCCCCGAAAGATAAGCTCCTGGCAAGAAGATGCTTCTCTGGCTGGGACTCCTCAGCTGTTTCTGTCCAACTTGCCAGATCTTTCTAGAATGAGCTAACCAGGCTGATTACTACTTTTAGTTGGGCTGGATTCCTGGCTCTCCATGAGTAACAAACACAAGCATTGCTACCTTGTACGTACTCCTCAGACACACTCACTGACTGCAGCTATCTTTTCTTCCTGTTTACTTAAAACACATCACCAGCAACAGCTGAGATGTCCAGTAGATGAGCAGCTTCCGAGTAAATCCACTTAGAGTAAAATGAAGTAGGTTTAAAGCTTTTCAAGAAGAGAGTTCTAGGCAGGGAGCGGGGTGTCTTCAGGTCTAAGCCTGAATCACTGGCCCCAGCCTAACAGAGTGGCTCACAACTCTTGCTTACTAAGCGAGGCTCGTGGTCAATAAAGTCTTTACTAGTTTAATATAAAAAGAACTAATTTTATGTGGGAGACTTCATTTGATTCATTTTACAGAGATATACTTCCAGGAAGAAGGTGTCTTATTTTATTTTATTGTTGTGCTTTAAGTCAAAGTTTACAATTCAAGTTAGTCTCTCATACAAAAATTTACACATATATTGTTCTGTGACCCTAGTTGCTCTCCCTATACTATGACAGCACACTCCCCCTTTCCACCCTGGATTGTGTCCATTCAAGAGGTGTCTTATTTTGACTCAGAAAAGGTTTGCAAAGGTGGGGTACAGGCTTTCTAATAAAAATATATTCACTAATATGATAACATAGTTATCTACTTTCAGCTATCACCTACATAACGTCATCATTTGCCCCCTTTTTTTGGGCATTCGTGAACAAATTGAAATGGAATAAATGCATCAACTATAAACTTAAGCATGTAAGCTATTTAATACATAAATTATTCCCAAGTGTATTAATAAATACCTTAACCTCCCGAAGGTTCATGCATTCCTCCCAGGAATAAAACTTTCTTTTCATTCTAAAAGAAAAGAAACAGATAGCATACTTACTTCCAGTAATAGTCTAAACTTTATATTTAAAAAAATGTTTTAGTTCATACGAGCTCCCAGACATGGCCAACACCTTGACTGCAGCCTCATGAGAAACTCTGAAGCAGAGAACCCAGCTAAGCCGTGCCCAGGTTCCCAATCTACAGAAACTGTGAGACAATAAATGTGTGTTATTTTAAGCCATTAAGTTTTGTGGTAATTTGTTATGTAATGGGCTGGGCCCAGACTGCAAAAGGCAAGTGGGTGAGGGGTAACAAAACAGTGGTCACCAGACTACCACCTATGTGAATGACCTAAAGTCAGTCACTTAATTTCTCAGAGTCTCAGTTCCCTCTCTTGTAAAATGAGGTTCATTATACCTACCCATCACTACCTCACAACAGGAGAAAGCACTCTGAAAAAGTACATAGTGCTATGGGCAAAGTAGTAAATCTAAAGTGAGAACGTTTTTAAGACAGCATCGTTGTAGAGTCAACAATCATGTAACCCACAGAAATCAATATCTGTGGTTCCTCTCCATGTCTCCTACCACTCCCCTTTAGAAAATCTTCAGACAGGGAATGGAGAGAGTAGAGTTAAAACTGTTGACAATGTGTAGTTTCAGGATCAATTCATGAGAGTGAAGGATGAAACTTACTTTTTAATAGCAATGAGTTCCCCAGACTCAATGCTTCTCCCCAGCAGGACGGAACCGTAGGTTCCATCCCCAAGCTGCTTGATTGTTGTGTATCTATTCATGGTGTGCTCGCTCAGGCCGGTCACTCATCTCAGGGCTGCGGCGGTTCAGTCCTGCAGTGGTAGCAGGCCTCCCCGGAGTGTAACCAGACTTTTCGATGGCAGCACCAGCACAAAGTATTCAATACAACGTGACTATCTCTCAAATACATACTTTCAAAGATCAGCCTTCTGCCTGTAGAGAACAATGAGACAAGGATAAATGCTAATGCGCTTTGAGTTGTGGGTTATGTACACTTTTATAGTCTAAATCAAGAGCCAGCAAACTACAACCCATGAGCTAAACCAGCCCACTAAGTGTTTTTTTTAAATAAAGCTTTATTGGAACACAGTTGTGACGTTCATTTGTATATTGTCTACAGCTACTTTTGTACTACAGCAGAGCTGAGTAGTTTCGACAAAGATTATATGGCCCACAAAGCTTAAAATATTCACTATCCGGCTGTTTACAGAAAAATTTGTCAGCCCCTAGACTAAATAATGCTCTCTTCCAATTTTTTATAAAACTAGAGATACCATGCTTAGAAAGTGCATTTGTCACTCGCTCAGAAATAACTTCACTGGTGATAGGGAACCCAAGGTTGAGAAGGGACAATGTGGACACGTCCTAGGGTTGTTAACCAATGTCATAGGGCAATATGTGTACTAACTGTTCAATGAGAAACTATTTGTTCTGCAAACCTTCATCTAAGATAGAAAAAAAAGAAAGAATTATCTATGTAAAATCAAATTGACAACAGCAACTCAAAAGGTTTGATGGGAAGCCTAGGAAACAGTGAGTTGAAGAGAATGGTGATGGAATAATTTGGAAAAGGATAGTGAGAATAGCAGCACAGGTGGAAGAATGTAACGGATGTCACTGAACTGTACATGTAGAAACTTTCAAAATGGTGTAACTTTGGCTATGTATATTTTCACCAAAAAAAAAAAGGTCCTCAAAGTCGAGAAGGGAGAGTGTTGACACGTTACGGGGTTCTTAACCAACATCATAAAACAACATGTGTACTGACTGTTTAATGAGAAAGTATTTGTCCGGTAAACCTTCATCTAAAGCACAATAAAAAAATTAAAAAGAAATCAGCTTCAATTCAATGCTTTTCTGCAGACTAACCATTCTGGGCAAACCCTGCATGATAACTATGCTCAATGCATACAAATTGTGGAGCTCAGAGAATCTGTGCTAAATATAAATTATTCTGTGCAATTTAGCTACAATTAACAATGTAAACAAAGAAAGTCAAGAGGTGCTAAAATTAAAGTTCCCCTTATAAAGAACTTACACGTGCTCTATAAACGATTTGTAGCTAGGCATCAACAGTGTTTTTACTACTAGACATTCACAAGCTAAACAATCAGCTAGTAATTCAGGGCCTGCAGGTAGGGTGTGCCTCTTTAAAAGCATTCAGTTATTTTTTCTTTTTTTTAATAAATTATTGACTTTTTCATTCATAAAATTGAGAGAATCATCAGTCTGCCCATAATGAAGATAATGTAGTATTAACTTATTCAAGTGATTGTAATGCTTTTAGACAAACGTTGAGTGCCATCAAGTCGATTCTGACTCATAGCAACCTTATAGGACAGAGTAGAACTGTCCCATAGGATTTCCAAGACTGTAATCTTTTTTGTTTTCTTTTTTTAATGATATTTTATTGTGTTTTCAGTGAAGGTTTACATTTCAGTTTAGGTTTCCATTAGACAATTTCCACACAAATTAGTTGGTGATGTTGGTTACATTCTTCATAATGCATGAACATTCTCACTATTTCCATTCTGGTTGTTCCGTTTTCATTAATCTAGTTTCCCTGCCCCTTTACCTTCTCATATTTGTTTTAAAGTAATTATTGACCATTTGGTATCACATGGAGCCCTGGTGGCACAGTGGTTAAAGCACTCACCTGATAGCCAAAAGGTCAGCAGTTCAAACCCACCAGCCACTCTGTGGGAGAAAGATGTGACAGTCTGCTTCTATAAAGATTTACAGCCTTGGAAACCCTGTGGGGCAGCTCTACTCATCCTATAGGGTCCCTATGAGTTGAAATCAACTCAATGGCAATGGGTTTGGCTTGGTTTTGGTTGGTCTCATATAAATGATTTTTTAAAGCAGCACAGTACTCATGGGCAATATTCTTTATTTTGTGAGCCAATCTGTTACTTAGGTAAAAGCTGACCTCAAGAGCTTATTTCAGTTCAAAGTTTAAAGAGTATCACAGGGTAAGAGTCTCAGCGAGTCCTCCAGTCCCAGCTGGTCCAGTAAGTCTGGATTTTTTAAGAATTTGAGGTTCTGTTTCACGTTTTTCTCCCATTCTATCAGGATTCATCTACTGTGTCCCTGATCAGAATGGTCAGTGAGCACTATATAGTTCTTAACGGTCTCGGTAGATGAGGCTGTGGTTTGTGTAGACTATTAGTCCTGTGGACTAGTTTCGTCTTTGAATCTTTGGTTTTGTTTTTTCTCTTTTGCTGCGGATGAGTAGAGACCAATAGTTGTATCTTAGATGGCTGCTGTCTTAGTCATCTAAGTGCTGCCTTAACAGAAATACTACAAGTGGATGGCTTTAACAAAGAGAAGTTTATTCTCTCACAGTCCAGTAGGCTACAAGTCCAAATTGAGGGCATCAGCTCCAGGGGAATGCTTTCTCTGTCGGCTCTGGAGGAAAGTCCATGTCATCAATCTTCCCTTGGTCTGGGAGCTTCTCTGTGCAGGAACCTCAGATCCAAAGGACACACTCTGCTCCCGGCACTGCTTTCCTGGTGGTATGAGGTTTCCATGTCTCTCTGCTCGCTTCTCTCTTTTATATCTCAAAAGAGATTGGCTTAAGACACTACCTAATCTTGTAGACCTCATCAGTATAACTGTCACTAATCCATCTTACTACATCATGGTGATAGAGTTTACAACACATAAGGAAATCATATTAGATTACAAAATGGTACACAATCATACAATACTGACAATCAAGACCCAGCCAAGTTGACAGATATTTTTGGAGGATACAATTCAATCCATAACAGCTGCTCACAAGCTTTAAAGACTCCAAGGCTGTAATCTTTACGGAAGTAGATTGGCACATCTTTCTCCTGCAGAGCAGCTGGTGGGTACGAACTACTGACCTTTGGGTTAGCAGACAAACACTTAAGCACTGCACCACCAGGGTTCCTTAGACAAACATTAATGAGATGTAAATGCTTAAATAAGAATTGAGGCATGTTTTTTAAAAATGATGATTCAAAGTATGTGACATTCTGCATTTAAATCCAGTCTGTGCAGCTTCTCCTTCCAGAAGAATTCCAATTCATAAATGTGGAAAGAAAGAGGGAAGTAGAAACTCAATATTAGGCAACCACCACAGTAATATTTATTGCAGACGGTCTACTGATGGATGGCAAAATTAGTGGATGAAAGTTTGAATAGAAATAGGACATTTTACATAGTCTCAAGGTAGCTCTAAGATATTTATAAACTTCAAAGATAAAGTTGGTAACTTTATAGGGGAAAGATCCAGCAGAAACCTCCTTAGCCAAGTGATCAAGTTGAACATCAGGTGTAATAAGACATACTGATATAACGAACCCATCCCTTGATATGACGCACTGAGAAGGGAATAGTATCACTCCCGTGAAATTCTTAGAAAAAATGCATAAACTCAATTAAATCATGAGAAAACATCAGACAAACCCCAAATGAGAGAGTCTACAAAACAACTGACCAGTACACTGCAAAAGTATTAAGATCTTGAAAGACAAGGACAGACTGAGGAACTGTCATAAATTAGAGGCAACTAAATGTAATGTGGGGTCCTGGATAGAGAAAAAAGGTCATCAGTGGAAAAATCGATGAAATTGGAAGAAGGTCTGTAGTTTACTTAATAACCAAAAAACCAAACCGGCTGCTGTCAAGTCGATTCAGTTTACTTAATAGTCTTGTACAAGTCTAATTTCCTGGTTTTGATGACTGTAATGTGATTATCTAAGATGCTAACATTAGCGGAAGCTAGATGAAGGGTGAAAGATATGGCAGTCTGCTTCTGTAAAGATGTACAGCCTTGGAAACCCTATGGGGTAGTTCTATTCTGTCCTATAAGTTCACTATGAGTTGCAATCGACTTGACAGCAGTGGGTTTGGTTTTTTGGGTTTTGGATGAAGCGTTTACAGGAACTCTCTGTACTACTTTTGTAAGTACTATTTCTTTAAGTTTAAAATTAGTTCAAAATGAAAAGTTAAAGAAATTCACCTGCTCTGTGCTCTTGTGAAGGCTGTGTATGAGCTTGAGAAGCGTTAAGAAATGGAAAGGTTATGCCTGATTTCACCACATTCTTATAACTGGAAGAACTTTGAGAAATCGAGCTCCTCCCCACCCCATGCTCCTTTCCTCCATAAGCATTCATTCATTCATTATTGTGGTAAGATATACATACAACAAAAAGTTTCCCATTTTAACCATTTTTTATTCTTTTTTAAAGATTTTATTTATTTTGTTGTTATTGTGGAGAATATACACAGCAAAACATACACCAATTCAACCATTTCTACATGTACAATTCAGTAACATTGATTATATTCTTCGAGTTGTACAACCATTCTCACCCTCTTTTTCTGAGTTGTTCCTCCCTCATTAACATAAACTATCTGCCCCCAAAGGTTCCCATCTAATTTTTCAAGTTGTTGTTGTCAGTTTGATCCCATATAAATAGTTTTTAAAAGGGCATAATGCTCAATGCAGACATTTTTTATTAGTTAAGCTAAACTATTATTTGGTTTTAAGAAGACTTCAGGGGACATTTTTGGTTTAAGGTTTAAAGATTACCTCAGGCAATAGTTTGAGGTGTTCATCCAGCCTCCATGACTCCAGAAAGTCTGGAGTCCATGAGAATTTAAAATTCTGTTCTACATCTTCCCACTTTTGATCAGGATTTCGCTACAGAATCTTTGGCTTTGGTCAAAATGTTCAGTAGTGGTAGCTGGGCATCACCCAGTTCTTCTGGTCTCATTGTAAAGGTGTCAGTTGTTAATGGAAGCAATTAGCCACATTTTAACCATTTTTAAGTTTAAAATTAAATCGCATTCATTACATTCACCTTGTTGTGCAACTATCACCACTATCCATTGTCAAATGTTTTTTCATCATCCCAAATGGAAACTCAGTATCCCTTCCACAATAACTGGCATTCCCT